CATAAACCGAGCATCTTGTAAGAATCTGTTTTTATAACTATGCCAGCCCTACAGCTGCACGTAATGACGGTAGCAGAATTACCAATAAGGGATAATTCTATTTTCATTTTAAATAATTTTCAGAGGATAATAGCTGGAGTCAACCTGATGTGAGTGGAAATCCTCCATGTTCCAGACATGGTCACATATCAGTGGCAGTTGGAACAGATATTTATATCCAAGGAGGAATGGCTGGTACCAATGTCTATGATGATCTCTATAAATTTGACACTGGTAAGATGAATCCCATTTGCTCCGATGAAGGGCTAACGCTTGAAACGTCAGCTTTTGTAATCGTTACGGTGGCCAATTTACCATTTCAAATTTGTTGATATATCCAAATTATTATGAATCCTGTTATACTTGGTATCTGAAGTGAAACTGTTTTGCTAGTAAGAACACTTTACAATTGTTTAACTTTGGATGTTACTATAAGCTACTGATTTTCAAGAACAAATTGGTGATTTTTTACAGCTCAGGATAGACAGCTCTACTTCTTTTTTAGGGTTGAAGGTGTTTATTTAAATTTGAAATGAGTTAGACTTTTTATATTGAAGAAAAAATTGTCCTGAAGGTGCTTACCATCATTTGAAACTGACTGAGAGATCACTTGGTTTAAAACCGAGAAGAGGCCTTTATTCCAAGAGGAAGCTGGTTGATCTGGCCGGGCAGCTTATCACTTGATTACTTTGTATGTTACACATATGAATAATATGCTGACATGCAGACTGATCTGGCCATCAGTTCTGACTTGCAATAAACCCTGTACTCAAAGTTAAATAATGCAACTGAAGGTTTGTAGGATTTAAAGCAGTGACACTTATTATGTAAAATAATCAAATTCCATTAACCTTTGTTTTGTTTTGAAAAAAAAATTAAATGCCAAGCTCTGTAAACTAATTAAAATTCTAGGAATTAAATATAATGATTAACTGAAACTTGTTGATGATGTAAACCAATTTATTTTCAGTGAATCACATTTGGAGTAAACTTCAACCAAAGGGCAATATCCCATCGTCACGCACTGCCCATGCTGCAACATGCATAGGGAAAAAAGTATTTATCCATGGAGGAATGAGTGCAGTGGGAACTGCGTTGGATGATGTGTATTCTATAGATACAGGTTGATAATTTTATCTTCAGTTTCTAATCTGTCTATTGAATGATGAAGACAACACTTTCTCTTCAATTGCTTGTATTTTTAAGGAAGCACATGAAGGCAAATGCCATTTGTGATTTCTTGGTGCACAATGTTTAAAAAGTTTTCAAATCACAAACTTAAGAATGATCATGACTCACAAAGTACTCAAGAAGTTCATGCAATGTTGTTTTATTATTAAATCCCAAAAAAAAATCACTTTCTTATGCTACTCTGTACATCCCTAGAGCACATTAGGAGAAATACTTTGCAACAGTTTGAAAATAATGTGGATTGTTCAAATTGTAGACAGTAATTGTGGTAGATAAACCAAATCTGTGTTTTTCAAACTACTTCAGAAGTAATTTGGTTACATCAATTAAATTGAAATTGTAAATTGGCCACCATAAAGAGTTAAAAAGCTGACATTTCGATCGTTAGCCCTTTGTCAGACGAAGGGCTAATGCTTGAAACATCAGCTTTTTAACTCTTTACAGGGGCCAATTTACAGTTCAACTTAATTGATATATTAACCAAATTACCTTATTACTCCCCGACACAGCACCACAATTTCTTTAGAAACTTAGCCCCCTTACTTCAGAAGTAATCATGTTTTGTTCATCTTTTAATACTTAAAATCTGTTAGTGCAAGACAGAAATCCCATATTTTTGTCAAAAACTTATTTGTAAATTCATCATGGACCTAGCATAAAAGTGAACAACTGTTTGCATGGCTACTCTGAGTCTCACTATCCACAGAGAGCAAATCATCTTGGAAAACTGTTTAGTAATTTTGTTGGGTGTAACGCAATGAACTGTAATCATTTCAATATTACTGAGGCAATGACTGATGTGCATTTTTATTTAAGACACCTTAAGATGGACACGAATATCAATTGATGGACCCAGTCCTGCACCACGACTTGATCACACTCTATGCGCAGTGGAAATTCCCAAGCTGTCAGGTATTTACAGTGATGGTCAACTTCCCCTTCAACAGCCTTATGATGGTCTTCACAGCGTAATTAACAACTATTCCACGAGCGTGCATTGGATATGAGATGATAGATAGCCAATGAAACGTGTAGCGTTGAGTTGCCTATAATCATCTCATATCCAACAAGCCCGAGTGGAATAATTGTTTTATTAAAAAAATTCCCCCAAGATATGAGACAAATCTTCTTGACTTTATTTTGTAAGAAGAAACCAGATGTTACAATGGACAGATATTAGACTATTGTATATTGGTTCATATATCATAATGGCTAAGCCAATAAAAAGTCTTGAATTGCCCTATCCGATGATCCAGTTTTTAATAATGCATGATAGTGTACTTGTCAAAAGAAAGAAATAAAGAAAAGTGTGAAACATTTTGGCCAAGTGCTAGACAAAGACGTAAAGTTAATATTCTGTTTTTTATCTATCTTAATTCCAGGTGATGACAGTACAGCTGAAATTGCAAAAGAAAAGATTGGAGTGATGTTACTGTTGGTGTTTGGTGGAATGGACGCACAAGGAGAAATTTTTAATGACTGCTTAGTTTTAAGGCCTGAAATTGTAAATAAAAATTGAACATTTTTTTTGTAAGAAGACTTTGTTTTGCTCAAAGATCTGAGTATGAATTGGTCTGTGTAAAGTGTCAGTGAATAAGTCATGCAGAAGGTCATTGTCTGTGTGACACCCCAAAAATGGATGGACAATAGAAAATATTCTTGGCCTGGCCTTCTTGAGAACTTCACCACTTACAACAAGGTCACAGTTTGACCAAGCTATGACAACGTATGAACTTGCCTAGCTAAATGCAAATTTCAGGGTTTTGACCCAAGTTGTTATGGTCATAACTAATTGTAAAAGGTGTATTCTAAAGAGGTTGTTTGATAAAGGGAGATAAACCACCATACAAGAATTTGAAAAGCCAACCTTCTGGGAATTATTCTTGATGAAGAGCTGATGTACCTTCAATATCTTCTCTGTGGCTAGGCATCATTTCCTGATGCAATGACTATTGCTGCCAACAAATTCAGAAAATGTCAAGTAATCTGGCAGAAGGCCCTTACATACAACTAAGTTACTACCATACCCTCAGTACTAATTTCCAGTAACACTCTTTGGCAATTGGTATGCAAATTTTTACACTGGCACAAACTCCCCTCAAGGATGGTGGTCAGATACACTCCTGATTAAGATATAAAGCATTAATTATAGCATTTACCCCTCCACCCCACCCCACCCTATTCCTCATCTTCTCCCTGCTGCACCCCCTTGTTCCAACGTCAAACCCAGATCCCCTCTTCCCGGTTAGAGGGACACAATATGTCATCGTATATAGAGAACATTATGCTAGAAAATCAAGATGGCGGCAGAATCGTGAGTTGTAATGCGATTTGTGCACCATGGGTCCAGATCCTAGTGAATCATTCAGAGAGCTTCGACCTGTCTGTATAAAGCTATCAAAAGATCCTTCACCACAAAATATCAAAGATTTGGAGGCTAAGCTGCAGATTTTAAACCCATCTCACCTCACCCAGCTGGTAGAGTACGTGTTGTTTCCTGTAAAACTTGCCTTACAGAGCGGCAGTGCTACCAACGAAGTTCAAGAAACAGTGGTTGGATGCATTGGAACTCTCTTCAGACATGCACGTGTTTGTCAGCTGAGTACGTTTGAAGAAATGTTTAATTACATGTGCATGCTTCTTAGTTCAAAGGAAGGAGGTCCTGGTCACTTGGCTGATATTCCCGAAGAACTCAAGCTGGCTATCGTCAAATGTCTCTCTTGCCTTCTCCAGAGCCCATCACTCGTGGTCAGAGGTGCATTTTATTCACCTCGTCTCCTTCCAGTTCTTGGGCATTCAGTTAGTGTGTTGCTGGCATTGTCAGAAAACGAAAAAGCCAGAAATTTGAGAGTGTGTGCTCTTGAGTGCCTCGGTCATTTGGCTTGTTGTAACGAAAATTTTGGTGGGCAGTCAGAGGACGGAAACGATCCTGAACAAGAGGACAGGCTTGCACTACAAGATGCAATCAAGGATTCCATAGCACAAGCGTTTGGTTCATTTGTACCTGGAATTTCAACAGCTTTGTGTCGAATCATCACAAAAGACACCAAACAAGGCCATGTGGTTGTTACACAGGCCATCTCTTTATGGGGTGATGTTCTTTCTTTAGTGATGAATGACAAGCGTTTGCCAATGAAACAATCAGAGGATAGAGACATCATTACTCAGCTTATGTCTTTGGCAACTGCAGATGAATTTACTAAATCAAAGGAAAACACAAAACAAGAAATTTCAAACTCAAATCCAGGAGGATATGATAAAATAGGACAGCTTAAAGTTAACAGAACTTTAGGGTGGTTTCAGGACACTGGATCAAAATTAAAAATTGTCATTGGAAGACTTAGTATTATTTCTGCACACCCTAACTGGAAAGTACGACTTTCATTGGCAAAGTTCTGCGACAAACTTCTTGAAAACTGTAAGGACTCCTTAGAAGTTTGTGCATCTACTCTGGTTGATCTCTTGGTTGGATTGACTGAGGATGAATATTCACAAGTGGTATCTCTCAGTAAAAAAGCCCTGCACAAACTCTCTGAAAGACTTGGAAATGGTGAGGACTGGGATGAATGTTTGCAGGATATCTCTGTTTTGACATGGACACAAAATCCACTTTCTAGCTGTGAAGCAAACATGAAAATGAGCAATAACAGTCCACATACCATATGATTGCATTTTAAATGTTCATGTTTGTGCTTTTAAGTTAATAATATTTTATCTTCAGTTAAATAATATAGGTAATGATGTTTTATGAAGTCAGACAACAATTATGAATTAACAGGACATACATGTATCACCAGGTCTAAAGATACATACAAGTAGCCTGAAAAGTTAATTAACCCTTCAGCCTCTAAGAGTGACTAGTATCAAGTTTCTCTTTGTTATATCACCCCTGATGGCCACAAGCCACACCCCTGACGGCCACAAGCCACACCCCTGATGGCCACAAGCCACACCCCTGATGGCCACAAGCCACACCCCTGATGGCCCCTGAATCACACATTAATGGAATAAAGGAAATCATCACCAACTAAAGAAACTCTAAATTGTGGAACATATTCTCCTTGTCAGCATCTTAGGAAATTTAAAGACAAAAGTATAGTAAGTTTTGTTGAACAGATTGAGTGAAGTAGGTAATAAGAGATTAATGTTTTCTTTTGTTTTCTGTTTTTTTGTTTGTTTGTTTGTTTGCCAGGTCCAAGCCAACTTAACTCCCTATTGGAAGAGAACCTTCATTTAGCATTGACGTCACTCCCACGACTCATGAGAACAGGGGATGATGGGAAAAAAATCCAAAGCCTAAACCTTGTTCTTGGTTATTTAAGCCTCCTTGGTCACAGGCTTTATAACTTGCTGAATTCTTCATCTTATTTAAAGAGACTTTCTCTAGCACTGATTCAGGTATGGCAAACTTTAATTGTGACAATTGGGTAATTCCACAGTATTTTGGACAGTAAGCTTTAAGAAATAAAATTGACTAAAAGGACAATTAAGCTCTATTCTGTACTGGTTAAATGCCAAATTTGTATAAAATGTTACTTTTGAGATGTCAGCACTATAATTTTGTGTCCTAAAATATCATAAATTATCCTTGATACCAAAAAAGCTGTCACGGAGGGGACATACACTAAATAAATATTGTAGATCTGTCTTGAGAAGAAATCTAATAATAACTGTCAGGATATTACATTGTTTACCCAGACTTCCTATGTTATTAAATTTGTTTCTTGGCTTTGTACGGAAGAGATGTAATGCTTTGTCCAACATTGAGTTGTCCCCTCCATGACAAAAATACCCACAAAAATTATGATCTTTTTAAAATAATGGGGATAACTGCAGAAACTTCTGTTAATTATTGAAGTATGGGCTGACAAACTCAAAAGTGTTAAAGAGTTTCTTCCACTTTTTCCTTTTAATTACTTTAAAAAGATAAAAATGTCTCGAAGGGGAACTTTTGTCACAGAGGGGACTTTTCTGTTACGGAGGGAACATTTTTTGTCACGGAGGGGACTTTTCTGTTACAGAGGGGACATTACTGTCACAGAGGGGACATCACTGTAATGGAGAAAAATTAACTGTCACTGAAGGTAAATGTAATGTAACAAACTATACTCTCCTCACTTAAAAGAGAAATTAATGTAACTATTGAGTTTAAAATTCAGGTTAATTTACGTCAAAAGTGGATGTGAGTAGAGCATTTTTACTGTCCAAGGAAGAGTTGCACATTTCATGACTAATACATGAAGAAAAAGTAAAGGATTCTGGGATTGTAGGTTCTGAGCATGATCACCACAGCACTGGCAGTTGCTTTAGAGCTGAAATGAGTGCGAAAGAGAGGACAAAGAAATACAGAGAAAGATTGAAAGAAAATGATGAAAGTTATGAGATGGTTAAAAAGAAAGATAGAGACCGAAAGAAAAAGGATTACTTGAAGAAAAAAGCAACTCAACCTGAAGTTCTTAGAGCCAAAGAAAGAGAAAAGAAAAGAAAGCAGAGAAAAAAAATGGCAGAGTTAGTCAAGAAAACAACCAAAGATTGTAATAGGATTAGCCCCCAGATGCTTGGAAAGGCACTTAGCAGAGCAAAGAAGCACCTGCCAAAATGCCCTTTAAAAAAAAAGTACAAGTTTTAGCAAAGATGGTTCAAGATCTCTCCCCCCAAAAAGGAAAGGCAGTGGTAGATTTATGTGACAGCAACTCCAAGAGAAGAAAAGAACACAAGAAAGACAGAAAGAAAAGATGTGATGCTCTGACTAGTGATGAAATACAAGAGGTAGAAGACTTCTACTTAAGAGATGACATCAGCAGGATGCTTCCAGAGAAGAAGGATTATGTGTCTGTCAAACTACCTGATGGTAAAAGGGAACACAGGCAAAAAAGATTGCTTTTGTTCAAGATTGGAGAAGCCCACGAGCTGTTCAAGGAAGAAAGCAACATTCAGATTGCTGAATTCAGATAAAATCATTGAATTAAATTCAGATAAAATCATTATTCATGAGGATTTTTCAGAAAAATTTCAGCTACGTCACCAATGTGCAATCATGGCATTCTACTGGTCCAATGAGGCAGTCACAGTATTCACTGCAATGGTATATTACAAAGATGACCAGAAGCAACTGAAGCATCTTTCATATGCTCTTATTTCAGATGAGCTGTCTCATGATAAAGCAAGCATTTATGTGTTCAACAAAGCAATTTTGAATGCTGTTAGTGAGAAAGTTGCTTTCAAACAGGTGCATTATTGGAGTGATGGAGCTGCCTTTCAGTTCAAGAACAGATTTAACTCGGCCAATGTTTTGTACCATCCTCTTGATTTTGGCATTCAGGCAACTTGGAGCTTCTTCGAGACAGCACATGGTAAAGGGGCTGTTGATGGAGCTGGAGGAGCTGTTAAGCATGCCGTTTGGAGAACAATTCTGCAAGGCTGTGAACTTGTAAACAGTGCTGAAGAGTTCGCAAAGATTGCCAACAAAGAATGCCAGAAAATAAAGTTGTTATACATCTCTAGGGAAGAGATCACTCAGGCAAAAGAGAAGCTTCTCCAAAGATGGAATGCTTGTTTTGCTATTCCAGAAACTCACTCTATTCATTATGTTGCCAAGGTTTCTGACACAACTGTGTCTGTTGCCAAGAACTCTCGGTTCTTAAAGCAGGACACCTGTATGCAGCATGTTCTTGTTCCAAGCAGCGCAAAGAGTCAGACACCAGCCAGTGACAGAAGTGAGAAATCAAGCAGCACAAAGAGTCAAACATCAGCCAGTGATGGGAGTGAGAAATCAAGCAATGCAAAGAGTCTGACACCAGCCAGTGATGGGAGTGAGAAATCAAGCAGTGCAAAGAGTCAGACACCAGCCAGTGATGGGAGTGAGAAATCAAGCAGTGCA